AAAAAAAAAAAAAAGAAAAATATACCTACCCTTACACTCTGTCTATTCAAAGCTCTCACAAGAGGGACTAATTAACAACCATCATAAAAAGCCAATGAATTCTGCAGAAACAGCACTCACCCAAAACGACTCTAAAGTCCTCACCATCCAAATGTAATACCCAAGTATTGGTGGTTTTTGACCTGTTCTCCATATACTTCTTGAGACTCTTCCCATTAATTTCCAGAGTATATTCATATGCAAATCCACTGATAGCATCTATATTTATCGTTGCTTTTGTCTTTGCAGCTCCAACACAGAAGGTTTCTTTGCCCACTAATTTGAACATCCATTCTTTTCTTATCTCTTCCTAAGCAATAAAATATAAAAGTTGAAAACACACAAATGGAAGAAAATTTAATATTTATAGAAATGCTATAATTTAAAAAATTTTAAGTTTATTTATTTTGAGAGAGAGAGCAAGTGATTGTGGGGGAGGGGTAGAGAGAGAAGGAGAGAATCCCAAGCAGGCTCTGTGCTGTCAGCAAGGAGCCTGATGAGGGGCTTGAACTCACAAACCATGAGATCATGACCTGAGCCGAAATTGAGTCATATGCATAACTGACTGAGCCAGGCGCCCCAAGAAATGGTATAATTAAAGTGAGTAAATAGCAGTGCTATTTAGGTATAATTTTATTCTTTCATGATCCAAATATTTTACAAAATAAAAGCACTTGAAGTTTAAATGTTATATAGTTTATGGATTCTGTAACTATAAATAGTTTGCTTTGTCCAGCAAAATGATACAGGCCAAAATATAAAGATAACCACTGTAAGAGAAAAGCCCTGAATTCATACATGAAGAATCTACATTAACAAAATCAAGCATTTTTTCCCTACCTTCCCATCTACATATACCACTCGTTTGCCTGATGTGGTCCCATGTTCAAATTCAATCTTATGGACTCCGTCACTTAAAGCAACATCCCAAACGGCTACGAGATCCGTCATTTTTTCCAGGCTATAAGGAGGGCTAAGGGAATAAAATGAAGCAATTATAATAGACCAAAAACAGTAATTTATCTTTCCAGGTAAAAGTATCAGATTTTTTAACCCATAAAATTAGAAAATGTTAAAGTGATAGTAACTGAGAAATTCTACTCACAGTACATATAACTATCTTCTCCCTCTTGTGCACTCTTCCTTTAAGATGAAACTACTATATATGGGTATGTAGTCGGATAATTCCAAACAAAGTCACCTTAATATTAATAGGATTAAGAGCCGATCAGTTTATCCAGGATAGTATTCTAAGCTTGGCTACAGAATAATGCTTGGAAAGGTCAGTAAAAAGTCTCTACTTCTCCCCTGCACCCCCATTTAGAAAGCACAGTATTTAATTCTGGTTTTTCTTCCTCAGATCCATTCACTCCAAAACAAAAACTCTCCAAATATTTCATACTTAAACCAATTAGGATTCATTTTAACAAAAACGGTTCTAATTCATTATACTAAGAAAAATAAAAGTCATAGAAGAAATGTCCTATAATAAGAGAGAAAAAAATGGAAAATGGTAATTCTTGTCTTTACTATAGTAATCTTATTTAAAAAACAAAGGATTCTGTTTTGTCATAAGTTTCTGGCACAAATTAAATACATATGTTTGATATTAATATGTTAATATAAAATATACAGCATTCATCCTATGAGTCCTGTGTGAATGACATGTTATATAAGACATACAAAAAATATTTTTGAGCCTGTTCTTTTAACTACATCTTACTCCTTATTCACTCTAATGTCTTTTGTGTGCTCTAAATCAGAAATGGTAAATGGATTTTTTGTCATTTTGAAGTGACTGCCAGGAACTCTGTGCTAAGATGGGTTTGGAGACCTTATATCAGGCCCTACGGGAAAAGACGTGCCATGTTGGTGGCAGCCACCTACATGCCAAGTGTTTACTACCCTTGCTCTAAATCACAGAAAAGCAAAACCAAGCATTCTGCAACTTTACAAAATGTGTGCTTAACAAAAGTAGCCTGGATAAATAACTCTTGAGTGATTAAAACAATCTTGAAAATTTCAAAAGCTAGTTTTACTGCCATGCAAGACATTTACCTTTCATCATCTTCAAAGATAGGACTGTCATCTCCAGATGCCATGGTTGGCAAAATAGCCTTTAATCCAATTAGCAGCCAGGAAAGAAAAAAGCAGAATTGCAGCAAAGAAAGATTGAGAGCAACAAAGATAACATCAGCAAAGTTTGCAATCCATTTCTTAAATTGCATGCAGTTTCCGATGAAACCAGCTTTTACATACAATAGAATTGCAACCTCCAATTTCAGGAAAAGAAATTAAGTCATGCACATTGGCCAATCATATTTTTCCCTGTTATAAATGTATAATTTCCTAAAGCTAGAGAATAAACTCTAGTTTATTCCAAATATTATACCACATCAGAGCTGCAAGAGACCTAGAGGTCCTCTGGGTCCTGTGCTTCTCAAATCAAGGTATAAGAAGCCCCAAGGGTGTGAGGTGTAGGTCAGGGAATACATAAAACTCCAGGATACACAGAATGCATCTCAGGAAGCATCAATGTTACAGGGTGGTAACAAATTTAAATGCAATCATATATTAAATTTTAGAATATACATTATGTCGGAATATATAACTTAAAAATTTTGGGGGGGGGGCACATGGTTAGCTCAGCCAGTAGACCATGCAACTCTTGATCTCGGGGTCGTAAGTTCAAGCCTCTTGGGTATAGAGCTTACTTAATAAAAAATATAATAAATTTTTAAAATTTTTTTTAGAGAACTTCAAAGAAATGACAAGTTTGCAGGTAGCAGCCAAGGATATGCTAGTGCTGTTTCCCAACAGCAAACTTAATTTATCCACTTACTCGACCCCACTTAATTTACTAGTGCCAATAATGAATCCACAAAAGTTATGTGGTTTGCTCAGGTCACTAGTAGGGCCTGAGCCAGAATTAGAGCCCAGTACTCCAATGCAAATACCACAGAATTAACTGGGCTATAATACTAATTAAATTTTACTAAAATCAAAAGCACACATATTCACACATGCATAGGAAACCCTCCACATTTGGAGATTTGAGATTAACAGCCTGTACCCCTGCCAAACCTACCGAAAAATAGGCTCAACTATTTTTTGCTTCCAAAATCTACTCTGGCCTAGCCTTTTCCCTATAGTTGCCCAAGGGTGCTCCCTCCTTGTTAAAAATGGGAGATTGCCCAACTTCTTTAGCTGGAAACAGTCAGAAGCCACAAATTGTTTTTAAAAGGATGTCAAAGAAGAAATTAGTACTGATAAAAGCACTCCAACAGGCAAAGAAAACATACAAATTTTAGAATAAAAATTAGATAAAACTTCAAAACACTTTGTAGCTAGAATAAATCTTTTTTTTTTTTTTTTTTTTTTTTTTTTTGGTAGCACCTTAACAATTTGTGAAATTTTCTAGTCTTTCTAGAAGCCCTAGGATATCTCCTATGAAAGTGGAGGGTATCCTGCACCTATAAAAGCAAAGAGAATACATAGCAATAGAGGAAGCCAAACAGAATATAAACTTGGATAAGCCATCCTTTGCACATCAGAGTGGGCTTAGGGATATCATTCAAATTTTGCTTTATAACTTTTAAAGACCTTATAAAGCTCAGTAATTCCGCATTCAAACTTGAAAGAATTGCCCAGTTTTTCCATGACAAGGGACTTTAATATTATCATACTAACATAAAGGCATAGTACTATCTTAATTACAATAACTTTTCATATAGGAGTATAAAAGACAACACAACAAATTAGAAGGGAAGTGAGAAATCAAAATCACATTTATTTTTTGAAATTTTCCCCTAAACTATCAACATTTATTTATACATTCATTTATTTATGGAGCATCTATCTAAGGTGCTAAAAAGCTTTGGAAATTGTGATGGTTGCACCAAATTGTGAATGTGCTTAATGCCACTGAATTGTACCCTTAAGGATGGTTAAAATGGCTGGGGCACCTGGGTGGCTGTTGGCTAAGCATCCAACTCCAGCTCAGGTCACGATCTCATGGTTCAAGAGCCCCGCATCAGGCTCTCTGCTGTCAGTACAGAGCCCGCTTCAGATCCTCTGTCCCCCTTTCTCTCTGCCCCTACCCTACTCTCTCACTCTCTCAAAAATAAACATTTAAAAGAAAAAGATGGCTAAAATGGCAAATTTTATGTCATATGTATTTTGCCGCTACTTAATAAATAGTGTAATATACAAAAAGACACTGTATACTTTAAATGGGTGAATTGTATGGTATGTGAATTATACTTCAACTAAATTGTTAAAAAAAAAAAAGACCTAGGTGCCCTTCTGGTAGTGTTTCTTGAAATGTGATTGTATCTATAACTGAAAGATGATCACAACTGTCCTTGTTCCCAATATCTCCATTACTCATTTGAATAATGATAAATATCTGTCACACATCTCTAAGTTACAAACTGGACTTAATAAACACATGTCATATTCTAAATTCATTCACCTTGCTGATAGTTATCAGTCACTTATGTGCCAGGCACTCAGCTGGACACTAAGCTCAGAGTGAGGGGCTCTAGAGAGACCAAAAGATGACTACAACAGAACCATAGGAGTGTCCTTGAAAAGGGAAGCAGTGAAGGACAGAATGGGCCCACAGAGAGAGGATACTGGCCTGCTAAGTGGGTAAGGAGAGAGGAGACTTGGCTTTATCTTTTTTTTAATTTTTTTTTTAACGTTTTAATTTATTTTTGAGACAGGGAGAGACAGAGCATGAACAGGGGAGGGTCAGAGAGAGGGAGACACAGAATCTGAAACAGGCTCCAGGCTCTGAGCTGTCAGCACAGAGCCCGACGCGGGGCTTGAACTCACGGACCGTGAGATCATGACCTGAGCTGAAGCCGGCCGCTTAACCGACTGAGCCACCCAGGCGCCCGGAGACTTGGCTTTAAAACCTGAGAGAATGGGGCACCTGATTGACTCAGTCTGTTAAGTGTCCGACTTCGGCTCAGGTGTGATCTCACAGTTTGTAAGTTCAAGCCCTACATCCAGCTCTGTGCTGACAGCTCAGAGCCTGGAGCCTGCTTCAGATTCTGTGCCTCCCTCTGTCTCTGCCCCTCTGCCGTTCTGTCTCTCTCAAAAAAAAAAAAAATTTTTTTTAAGTTTTAAAAAATAAACTCTTATACATACACTTAATTTTCAGGATCATGTGACCACACTGGAAAATGATCATTACAAAGAAAATTCCCTCCATTTAATAACAAAACTTTAAAAATGTAAATGAAAAGGATGGAAAAACAAATTCCATTTTTTTCACTGATGATGTCACTCACTCAACACTTTTTACATGTCTTCAAAGAAAACTTAAGTATCTAGACATCAGCGTATCTTTTAAAGTCTCTTCCCTAGCGATCCAACAGTCATGTTTCAGAATATGCTCCAAACATTAAGACGTTTCCACTGTTCATCTAAACCCAGATTGAATTTTGCCTTAAATTGGGTTTTAAGTGTACTGGGTACTGTAATAGTATGTCCAAGCTAAACCCAAGTCAGTTTTGAATTACTAACACATTCATAGTTCCCTTTTCAGCAAAAGCTCTAGGTAAGGCCAGCCACAAGGGAGGTCACTTTTCGACAAGTAGGCGTTGACACTGTACGCCCAGAACCCTGTGAAGCCCTGGGACCTCCAGAAAAGCCAGGAAGCTTCGTGAACCAGGGGGCTCAACGAACTGCTTTCTGTAATAGCTACAAACTGAAAACCACCTGCAAGTTCACCGACAGCGGGGGAGCGGGGCGCGGCGCGGCATCCACGAAGTAAATCACAGTCCGGTCACTCAACAAACTGCACGTACAGCCCGGGCCAGGCCCCGGGGATGGATGCGGCGGTCAGCTTGGCGCACACGAACGCAGTCCAGTGTGGCCAATACAAAGGACGCAGGAAAATACGCAAAGCCACGGGTGGCTGCCCGTAATGCATCCTTTGGCCAAGAAGCCACGTTACGGCACCTCACGATCTAGGGTCTGCACAAATACGGTCCGCTTGTGCGTCCATGGAAAAAGCGGCAGGAAGTGTATTATCCTAAGGTCGCAGGGCCTGGCCGGGCAGGGGAGACTCGCGGCCTGCCGCTTGGTCCCGCCTCTGCCCTCGGCCCTGCAGACGCGACACGCCCGGAACACCCCAGCACCGCCTGAGGCCTCACCCGCGGCGTCTCACGGTCCGCGTAAACACCGCCCACCGCTAGCAGCGCCCGCCGCCGCCGCCTCGAGATGGCCGCCGCCGCCGCCGCCGCGCTCCAGCGCAGAGGCTTCTGGGGGCCGTCTCACCTGCGCCGCGGGGCTCACCTGGCCGCCGTGGACCGCGGGAGGCTCTGCGTCGTGGACCCGCAACGCGCGGGTTCGGGCTCTGCCACTTAGGCCGCGTAGGCTTGTTCCCTTCGCCGAGAACCGGGCGCCTCCTCCGCGTAAGCCGAAAGCTCAGCAGCCTCCAGTCCCGTGCGCGCCGACTCTCTGGCGCTTCAGGTCCCCGGAGGTGCCCAGCGCAGGCCGCCACCCGCCCCCGCGCACTGCAGACCCAGCCCCGCCCGCTGCCTCAGAGGACGTCTTAGCGCTCTCTGCACGGGCACCCCTCCCCGCCCTTCCCCGTTCCAAACCTTAAGTCCCGCACCGCGTCCAGTCGTCCCTCCAGCCGAGGTTGGTAAGCCCCGCTGATAGCCAGCGCGAGGCTGGACGCCCGGGATAACCTGGTGGCCAAAACAGAACCTGTGTCTTCTCTGAAGCCACCGGGCAGGTAAATCTGATTATGGCCTTCGTTCTTTGAAATCTGTTTATGGCTCTGGCCGCTTCCATAAGGACCCAAACTCTTTAAGCGGGCATGAGGCCCCGTGTAGATTCTCAGATGATGCAAGCTCTTTCTCCCCGCCCCTGCGGGCCTCTGCGGATGCTCTTCCCTCTGCTGGGCACTCCTCCCTGTTTTTTCCCTTAGTTATCCTCCACTTTCTTGTTGAGCTTGCTCTTCAGATATCATTTCTTAAGGAAAACTGACTTGGCCCTGAAGACTTGCAGCACTTGGAATTCTCCTTAGTCCCTGCCAGGGTGTGTAATTACTTGTGTAATTGTTGCTTAATGTGTAATTTAATAGTAGACTGAGGTCCTTAAAGGCAGGGGCAATGGGTGCTTGGCTCTCACTCTTGCATCTCCCACATCAGCACAGTGCAAGATGCTGAGCAAGTGCGTGAGTGAAAGGGAAGTTGAGAGACAATAGGAAACAATGTATTAATAGATTAATCAGTCTGCAAAGTCATAATGATTGAATTCTTTTTTTTTTTTAATTTTTTTTTCCAACTTTTTAAATTTATTTTTGGGACAGAGAGAGACAGAGCATGAACGGGGGAGGGGCAGAGAGAGAGGGAGACACAGAATCGGAAACAGGCTCCAGGCTCTGAGCCATCAGCCCAGAGCCCGACGCGGGGCTCGAACTCCCGGACCGCGAGATCTTGACCTGGCTGAAGTCGGACGCTTAACCGACTGCGCCACCCAGGCGCCCCCATAATGATTGAATTCTTAAGCAAATTATGTTACAAGGATTCTGCTTAGTGAGCACTGATTTCTTGTTTGCTACCTTGTACTGAAAACTCTTCTAAGACAAAGACTCTTCATATTTGTAATTTTCTTCTAAATCAGTGTCTGGAACAGAAAGTTTTCAATAAATGTTGAAAGAATGAGTTAGGGGCGGCAGATAAAAGGCCCAGAGTGGAAATTTTCAGGGATGGGACAGGGCTAAGACACCTCCCTAATTACTTTTTCTTAGTCCTTAGTGAGTTGTTGGGCTACGACCAGGAAACCTTGGTTGGGAAGCAGCTCAGTGATACTGTTTAAGGAAGGATCATATTTTCTGGTAAAACTTTAGAAATCTGGATATCCTCTACAAGATCAGAAAGGTATAATTTGTTGAATGCTTGCTATGTCCTTATATATTGTCGTCTATTTATTTTCACAATAGTCCAGTGCTTGTATTACAGAGAGACCCAAAGCACTTCAGCAGTTGCAGGGCCGGCATGTGGAATGAGGCCTGTGGGATGCAAGAAGTTCATGTTAACAGGGCCTGTTAATAGAAAAGTGTTGATTGTGCTTGAATAAAAATCTGGGCCTGTTCTTAGAGTCCTGCGAAGTTCCTCTGCCCAGGGTCTGCAGAATACATTCATGAGGTACACTGAAGTCTGCACCACGAATAGGCAGTGCCGTCTGATTCCTCCGCTGGCTTGTTCCCCTCTTTTCTCTTTGGGTAGAATTTCTCAGATAACTGGCATTAAGGAACATACCAGTTTGGGCTACATTTTCCACCTACTTATTCCCAGGGGCCCAGGACAGTAGAGGTAGCAATAGTCACTTGTTACCAGACAGGATTGTTATGGAAAGAAAGTCTGAAGAAAACACGGTGAAAGGTATTGAACTTGAGTATAAATGTATTAATTCAAGCTGATTCTGCTTTTGACTCTACGTCCCCCGCCCCAAACTAATCTCTATGCCCAACATGGGGCTCAAACTCACAACCACAAGATCAAGAGTCACATGTCCTACTGACTGAGCCAACCAGGTACCCCATGCTTCTGACTTATTCTCACTCTCAGATTATTAATTTGATCTTATTTTGGGGGTGGGTGGGTGGCTCAATTGGTTAGGCGTCCTACTATTGATTTTGGCTTGGGACATAATCTCACCATCATGGGATGGAGCCCCACATTGGGCTCTGTGCTGGGCATGGAGCTCCCTGGGATTTCTCTTCCTCTCCTCCTCCTCCTCCTCCTCCTCTCCTGTCCTCCCTGTCCTCTCCTTCAGCTCTCCTCCCCATGGTAGGTTTGTTTCTCTCCTCTCAAGGGGATGTGGAAAAGATTTATTTTATGCACCTTTATACCAGAGGCTTGAACTTACAACCCCAAGATCAAGAGTCACATGCTCTACTTTAAAATGAAAAAAAAGAAAGAAAAAAAGAATCATGTGCTCTATCAACTGAGCCAGCCAGGCACCTCATCAGTGATGTATTTTAGGAGAGCAGCTAAAAATGTTTTCATTCACCATTCTCCATGTTTTCATTGGGCCTCCATTTGAACAGGGAATTTTTTTTTATAAGTGTTTGTTTATTTGGTGGGGGGGTGTGAGGGAGGGAGGGAGGAAGAGGCAGAGAGAGACAGAGAGAAAGAGAGAGAGAATCCCAAGCAGGCTCTGAGCTGTCAGCGCAGAGCCTGAGGCGGGGCTCCGTCTCAGGGACCATGAGTTCCTGCTCTGAGCCAAAATCAGGAGTAGGACGCATAACCGACCAGGCGCCCTGAAAAGGGAATTGTTAATGCGTTTGACTGATTTCCTGAATTTTTTACACAGTATGAACAGAGATCAAAATAAAAGGGAAAAGTTTTCTAGTCTGATACCTACAAGACTGAAAATTTTCCATATGCCCTTCCAGTATTGGTACAGCCCAACCGCTGGTGATATGTTTAAAGAAAGAGGCACCAGTGCTTGAGAAACAAGCACAGGGCCCAGGATTCTGGCCTCAGAGGGTGGTGTGTCCAGACCAGTGCCAGTAACAACAGTCTCTTGCTGCCGGCCAGGCTGCTGGGGCTTAGGCATCTTCCCCTCAGCCCAAGGAGGCTGTGGCTCTCCCTACACAAACACAGAAAGTGGAGAAGCAGTACAACAGGGTGATTTTGTAGAACTTCAAGAGAAGCTTGAAAATTTCAGGAGAAAGTAGGTTTTGGTTTGAGTCATGTGGAGATTGGGGTTTGTAGATAAACCCTTAATTAGAACAAAGAGCCAAAGGAAGGCGGTACAGACACATATTCCAGTTGGTAAAGATTTGTAAAAATTTGTATCATGTTTATTTTGAAAAATTTAAAAAGCATAGAAAAGTATAGAACAATACCCATATTGCTGCTACCTAGAATTGACTGACCATCATTAAATATTGGCTCAGTGAAAAATTTTAATAGAAGAAAACGTTGCAGATCAAACCCTATTTGATTTGCAACTCCAGCACCATTACTTGCTTCTCTTCCCCAAAGGCCAACATGAACATAAATTTAGTGTTTCCTTCCAAGCTCACCCTCTATAGTTATATAGAAATTATATACATGAATAGCTTATACCTGTTAGAATGTATATTATCTAAGACAAGAAATAACAAGTGTTGACAAGGATATGGAGAAAAGGAAACCCTTGTGCCCTGTTAGTAGGAATGTAATTTGGTGTAGCTACTGTGGAAAACAGTATGGAGGTTTAAAAAAAATTAAAAATAGAACTACACTATGATCCAGCACTTTCATTTCTGGGTATAGACCCCCCCCCCCACCCCACCCTGCCACACACACACTATTATTATTATTCAGCTGTGAAAGAGAAGGAAATTCTGCCTTTTGTGACAACATGAATGGACCCCAAGGACGCTATGCTAAGTGAAATAAGTCAGACAGAGAATGACAAATAATGTATATGTCTCTTATAGGTGGAATCTAAAAAGAAAAGCAAAAATAAGCTCATAGATACAGAGAACAGATTGGTGGCCTTCAGAGGTTGATGGGAGAAATGGGTGGAGGGGGTATAAATTTATTAAAAATAATAATGAAGAGGGGTGTTTTGAACTATCCCACTTTGAATTATATATTGTCAATTTATTATTACTAGTGTATTTGGCTTGTCTCTACTATTTTACCTTTAGCTTTCTAATTGTCCCACCTTTGTTCTGCTTTTTATTCTCCTTTCTTGCATTCTTTCAAAAATTGTTTAATGTTTATTTTTGACAGAGAGAGACAGTGTGTGAGTAGGGGAGATGAGAGAGAAAGGGAGACACAAAATCAGAAGCAGGCTCCAGGCTCTGAGCTGTCAACACCGAGCCCGACACAGGCTCGAACTCATGACCTGCGAGATCATGACCTGAGCTGACAGGCTCAAACTCATGAACCTCGAGATCACGACCTGAGCTGAAGTCAGACACCTAACCAACTGAGCCACCCAGAAACCCCTCCTTTCTTGAATTCTTAAAAGTAGACTTGGGTTTTGTTTTCTTATTCCACTTTTTCTGTCTACTGGCTTAGAAGTCATTGGCTCTATTCCTCTTCTTCGAATGGCTACCCTTGAAATTTTACATTGCATACTTAACAAGGCCTAAACATCCCACCTCTTCTTACAAACAACACAAGGACCTTGGAATACTCTAACTCCAATGGCTGCCCCCATTTTCATTTTAGTCTGTCCTTTTTTTCAGCCCACAGATTTGCCTTCATGATCATTATACTGTATTACATGATGTTTGTTTTGATTTGTCTACCTGTTTATCATTTTTTCTCAACAATCCCTGCATCTCAGACTTGTCTTTGATCACTTGTCTTCTTTCTAAAGTACATACTTAGAAGTTCTTTTAATGTAGGTCTATTGGTGATTTTTAAAAAATTTTATTTTGAGATAATTGTATCTGGGAGCTCGGGAGAGCCACTGATCTGGACCCACTTTAACATGCTTCCAGAGTCCTAGTCAATGCAGGAATCTTGGGCTCAGTTCCCCCTGACTTGCTCCTGACTGTGCTGAGTAGGTATTTACATATAGGTAACACTCCTCTCGATATGTGTATCTCTCATAGCTTTGGGTTCAGCTCAAAATTTTGTTTCATCTCCTTTGAGATTTGCTTTCTGGAAAACCAGAAAGGAAATGATTATTATTTTGTAAATGTTTATTTATATTGAGAGAGAGAGAGAACAAATGAGGGGAGGGACAGAGAGGGAGATAGAGAATGCCAAGCACACTCCACACTGTCAGT